CTGATGCGATGGGCCTGGCGGACATTTTGGCCTGTGGTTGGTAAAAAAGCATGACTTGTTGTACCTATATTCTTTGCACTAGAGCTCAAGTAATGCGATTTAAACTACAAACCTTGCTCTTTTCTACTGCGGACAAAAGGTCTAAACATCATAAAATCGCAGCAACAGTACTGTCGGCAATCCATTTGATGATCGCAATTTGTAAATCCTTAAAAATTGCCCTAGATTAGAACCACTGAACAACTTCAAGGACATTTGAGGCCAGTTGGACTTTAAAGAAAGAAGAAACCTGCAATGGATGACGTGACCATTCTGGAAGTGAACAAGACCAATTATCCCTCATCTACTAGGCACTTGGGCCACGTGCGTACCAGATGACGGATATAAGGGACATGGCTATTATCTCAGTGAGGTCATTGTGACTACAAACGACCAAGCCATAAGTTTAGCTCTTTAATTCCATGATGGATGAAGTAAAGTGATGTGAATTGTCTCAGATATGTCTTATCCGCATAAACTCAGCCAGTTTTCAGACCTTCTACGTTTTAATGTAATATGACAAGCGGTATAAAATGAACAGCGCAACCTGCATGGAAGACTCGAATGGATGGTGCTTGATGTACGGTTCTGGCTTGTGATTTGTCAGTTAAACTTGCTCTGTTCGAGCTGTTTTTCTCAGATAAGAATCGAGTGGTCTGCACGTTTGTCAGCTGGTCACTAAAGTCGATAAAATGCTACCGGACAAAATGGATCCAAGTAAATAACCTGACATGGTAGAAGTTTGGACAAAACTGGGTGTATGTAGGACGCCCACTGGAAACATAAGACATTAATGCCAGGCTAGGCAGCACCCGAAAGAACCTCTCTTCACATTTGTGGTTTACCCCACCGACAATCACTACATGAAACGCATTCCAGAAGTCACCCCGACATTTTGAACAAGACCATTAACAAAGACATTCATGCATTTGTCGAGTAAAGAAAATGAACTAATCACAAGCGTCACACGATTCGTCGAGAAGATTATACGGAAAGAGATTATTTTGCACTGGGTTTTTTATTCGCAGCATCGTTGTTCAATTGGGAAAGAAGACCTCACAACCAATCTCTGTAGCGCAATCACAGAGTTGTTTGCTTACACCATTTCGGCCTTGAAATACGACATCTTTTGCATCATTGACTGCGTTGAATAGTCAAAAATATAGCAGTTACAATTATCTTGAACTTTAGATTTAGAAGAGAACATCATATGTGAAAATAATTAGGACTTCAATTCAGTTCTCGATTAATGATATCACACACAAACTTCTCAGGCAAGCTTTACTCAAGCAATGGATGGTGTTTACATCCCTACATTCTTAAATTCAGCTGGAGAACGTCCAAACTATATCTTCCTGGTTGGCGGTCTTTTGCAATGCTTTCTCAGTAGGCTTGCAAGGTGGTTTCAGATTAGGGTGATAATAACGAGAGTTTCAGTATAAAATACATCAAACCGCAAACCTAGGAAATATTTTTGTTATGCGAATTCAGAAGTTTTTGGGTCAACTTAGTGTCAACCCAAATAAGCCTTCATCTAAAATACAGCATGTAGAATTTGATAAATAGCAGTACGCCAATTCAGACAAATTTGTGAAATAGGCATGAAATTAATATGGTGATGCAAAGTCTCATGGAAGAATGATTGCCTATCAAACGTAAAACAGTTTGTTCAAGAAGCTATCCTGATGACTTAATATTGTTCGTTATGAATTACCTCATATAGCTTATTATTTCCCGCGATGGATTGCCTCCATGGTTGATTAACGCGCAAATCATTGAGTCTGTCTCGGTCAAATAGGCTACATTTAGGCGTTTTAACCTTTCTAAAGTGAACCGTCTTGAGACCATTTAGGGTGAATCTCGAGAACAAACGTGAATGAGTTGTAGTGAGGTGTATGTGCGCTGATAGAATCTACAGTAGGCCATCATGAACAGTTAAAAATGTCTGATAGCAATTCACAAAAATAGACATCGTTAAGACAAATCTATGATAGCTTTGGGTGAATATCTTGGTTCAGAAATTTAAAGTTCGTAAACTAAAAGAATTCCAGTGAGTTAACTTAAGCTCGACGATGCCTTAATCGTGGTTACCGGCACTCACGTCAGAGAGGCTTTATTATTAGATTAACATATCTTGTGTCACTGGTTCCCTTTTACAGACGTGGTTTGCCTGCGCGCAGCTCGATGGGGTTTTCATTAAGGTCCTGTTTCCGTTAGGGGTGAACGGTATTGATACACGTACATTAACCCGTTTGCTGCATCCTCTACTACATTACCCCCATTTCAGCCATGCGGGACCGTCTACACACGCACCCCTGTGCATATACCTCCCCATTATCCTTTTCACCCATCCGGCCATTTAACCATTTGTACTTACACAGGTTTAAACGGACCGGATGGTTGAACAAACGTATTTGTCAGACACGATATTTATGCAGTGACGAGACAGCCACAACTTGCTTGAGACATCGGATAAAGAGTTGTCTCTCACTTCTACCTTTTGTCTCATTTCCATCTTAGATACTGTATGTATTTTGCGTCTCAACAAAGTGGTGACCCCGACATGGGCCTTACCTAATCGATACCTTCCCATTAAACTGTTCAAATCGCTGATGTAGCAGATTAGATCCAGAATGCGACTAGGTCGTACTGCATCATTGAAGTAAGCCTAAAGCTAAACCGCCTAATCGTCACTGTCTCAATCATGAATAAGCTCATACTTTCGGAGTTTTTGGACCCAATGCCATTTTCGTTTCTTGAATTGCCGTCCAGAAATCTCGAATGCTTCACCACAGACGACGATGTCAACTTGTTTGGGCTTTCACGATCACGGCAGTAGCAAAATGTGATCCTGTGCGCTAACTTTCTTTGCCATTTCGGCCTAGTCGTCGTCTTAAAAAGAAACGCCGTTAAGGCGCTCTAATCAATCTCACTGTCATGGTGATCATGGCAACTAAAACATCAACAACAACAACCACGATCAAGTTACAAATAAATAACGGACATTATTCGCGCTAACTCAAAAAAGCTCAGACCCTAAAAACCCAACGCATAGGAATGAAGTACACAACTATTTTGGTAATTTGTTTGATACCTCTACTCAGAGGGTCATATTAGATCATGCATGGAAGGTTGTGTCCCTAAAGTAGATGAAGATTTGGGTCATTTTCTTGGAAGGCGTTCCGTCAAGTATCTCATGAATTAAAGGCGTTTACGGAAAAAAGAATCTAGAGGTCGTCCTCGAACTTCAATTTCTTCCAGCTTCAACGGAGAATAGCCCTTATCACGCTATCGTCTGGCAAATATCCTGCTTCCGTATTTGTACATTCAACGTGACATTTTCAGAGTTTTAATATTTTAATACTGACATGTCGATTTTCAACCGAATAGCCAAGTCATCTCGCACATATTTTCGAACTTGCAACTTTTTTTACACGCAATTAATTCTTGTTCACCACATTCACACCGTGACTCGTCAACTCTAATCCACTGAAGCCTAGATTTACGCGTAAGTTAAACCACACCAAAGGCAATATGATCAACTACACCAAAACAGCTGAATAGTAGTAAATGGAAGTCGAGCAGATGCAGAAACGTAAAACGTGTACGTTGTAACTTATTCAAGAAACTAGTGCTACCTTCTGGAATAACATGTCGTGAATCCTGTTTATTCAACCCCCTTATCCGGTCGCTCCATCTCCTACACAGGGTTCCCTTGTCGCAGCATGTCGCCAGCGCTCGATTCCTCAACTCCCCCTTCATTAGCCCGAATATTTATCTTGGAGTGTCCCCACGCATAGGTCTCGATGTTAGCGCATGTATGACTCACACTTTCGAGTTATAAATACACACGCGCATACACCACACACGACACAACGACACCAACGTGGTTGACCTCTGAAGTAAACGCCTGTGTCCGTCCCCTCCGGCCTTTTCCTTCATCGCGGGTATCAGGCAAGCGTACTCGGGCCAGAGGTAATTCCGTGGCCCCGGCGTGGTTCAGGACGACATGCTGGGGCCCACAACAAACACATAAATCGC